ACCCCCAGGGACATGGCTCTCCCATATAAAGTGGCTAAGGCTCCATAAGGTCTGAAAGGAGAAAACAGGCCCCTCCCCAAACACCCTTGTTGGGGATGGAAGAGGCGGCATGGGAGGGATGTGATGGACTCATGCTTCCTATCTCAGGGTGACTGAAGAAAGAAAATTAGTAAGAAAAAAAAAATTAAACCTTTTGCTGCTGAGTATATTTTTAGTTTCTAAGTAGCTCCTAGCATTGCAAACATTTTCTTTTCCACTCTCCCCTCCCATTTTATTATCTAGAAGGATGGGAAGGGGTTATTTTACATTACTAGTCCCAGAGAATGGTGACATGAGAAATGATGTCATTGAGTTTCCCGGCAAAAATTCCTTAAATTCCATAGCCTAGGCACATGCAGAAGAGAGAAAGAGAAGAAGAGAAACAGAAGAGAGGAGAGAAAAGATGGGACCCAGAGAACAACAGAAAGCATGCTCTTAATTCAATCCCAAGAGATTCTAGCTGCCACATTTTATGGATGAAAAAACAAAAACAAAAACACAAAAAAACTTGAGAATCAGATAAGTTAAGTGATTTACCCTCTGCCACAGAGTTAAGCCAGCGGCAGCTGTGGAAACACAGGAAGATGGATTCAGAAGAGGAATGAGCTTTAGAGATCAAGTCCACCCGGACAGAGGAAGCAACTTGCTATTGGGAGAACTGGATTCAGACACCAGGCCTCCTTCCTCTCTAAGGCACAATCTCCCTAAAACTCAATTGTAGGGAAGTATCAACTTCTAGCTGAGGGCATCTGTTCTCACGAGATTTAGAACTAGAAGGGATCTCTTTCCATTAACATGCTGCTTTTCAGGGCATAGCTCTCCTAAAAGAATACTACAAAAGGCAGGGACAGACTAGTTTGAAGGAGTCCCATACCACACATTTTACAAATGAAACTACCTAGATTCTCGATGGCATCATTTGTATGATTAGCATTTCCTTCCCTCTGTGTGGCTTCTACCCGTCCAGCCCCCCTCAGCCCTGGAACAGCTGCTTCCCTCCTGGCAGAGATGCCCTTTTTAGCCTCTCCTGGCTTGGCTCAGAAAGCCGCGTGTGGCTGGAGCAGGAACACACTCCTTCCATGGGAAAGACGAGCCACCCACGGGCAGCCACAGGCTTCAGGACCTTGTGCCATGGAGCCAGCTGTGGGAAACTGCTCTTTCAAAATCAGCAACCCAGCCTCTTGCTAGCCAACTGCAGCCTGAGACAGCTCTGGGGCTTGTGATATAGGAGACAAGGTTCCTAAAAACACAATGCCAGTTACGGCGTGCATGGATCCTGTAATGACGGCTCTGCCCACATGGGGAAGGAGGGAAGGAGGTTGAGTTTGGAGCAGTGGCTAGATTTCTGGCACTAGCAAGGATGACATCAGCTAGAAAAGAGTGGGTGCTGGGTCCATGGGGAGAGTACAGAAAGGGTGGGGGGAATCTCAAAGTAATTATAGGCCAAACTTGGTCTAGTAAAGCTGGGTCACAGCAGTTGTGCTAATGGGACAAGGAAGGGCGGTGAGTGGGTGGGTCCTTGGCCCAGATGCTGCCAGTGTAGGCTTTTGAGGTTAAAAACCACAGTGGAAACTTTATTTGAAGTGGGGGGAGGGGAAGGAGAGGGAAGGAAGTCAGGGAAGAGACCAATTCCATTCTGTGGGTCCTGTAGACAATAACCTTTTGTAATCCATACAAGCTGGGCAGGCCAATCTACTCCACAGTTTCTAGGAAAGCAAGAGAAAGGATCCCCGCCCCACCATCCCTCTTGAAAAGCCACATAATCATAGTTAGTTGTTGTGTGGCAAGGCTTCTAAGGCCCGAATTCTCTCCCACGCTCTCCATTTCCAGTGACACATACAAGAGAAAGCTGACCTAATACTGTGTCTAATTAGAAGCACTACATTTTTCTAGGTATAGTTAGAGTTGATACTTTTGAAACCCATCTGAGTGTTTAGGGGTTAGGAAAAGTTACTACTAAAAATTCTTTCTGGTAAATATCATCTCTCTATCTTTCCTTTGCCTCCTTACTGGTGTGTGGAGACCCTGCTTCCTGGAGGCTGGGGTGTAGAAGAAGGCTGTTCAGCCCAATTTTGCTTGGGAACCTAGAATTTCAATGTCTACCATTACCCAAACCCACTTGACCAACATTGCCGTCATCTAGAGGCATGCTGAGAAGACTGTGTATGTGTGTGGGATGTTTGAACACCATCTTTGGTCCCCTCAAAATAAAATAATAAGGTAAGTGAAAGTCAAGTTAAGGAAGAAAAAAAAGAGCAAAAGGACCTCATCATTTGTACCTCTCCGCTCCCAAGTGGTTGTCGCCTCTCACCTTTCCAGACTTTATCAACAGGTCATCCTGGAAGCATCTCTGACTCATCTCTCTCCTTTATTTCCTAGAAATAATCAGTCCTCAGATTGGCTGCTCTGGTTTCCATCCTGTCCTTTTTCAATTTCTTTTGCCATCCCCTTAAGTTCAAGTCTTCATCACCCCCTATAGCAGATGTCCTGACTTCTGCCTTTCTCATTCCTAGCCCCTCTCACAAACTGCTGGCGAACTAGCCCAGGTTAAACCCTTTTTTCTGGTCGATAAATCCCCATGGCTTTCTTACTGCCCACAAACGTCTCTGTTTGATCTTTAAGGTCTTATCCGCATCTTTCCAACTGTATTTCCCACCCATTTCCTGGCATTAATTCTGAAAAAAACCTTTCCTTTATTTAGAGAGCATCTCCTTATTGAACAAGAAGAATCACTGATTCAGTGGGGCTTTAAAAAGGAAAGATCCACCCTTAGTTTCTCTTCTTCCCATCTGCATCACATCATAACTGTTCAAGCCTCTCCCCGGAGGGGTGAGGGAGGGAGCTTTGCCGTTGCCCACCCCTAACCACATGGGGCTCAAATGGCACGGTGACAAGCCTGACCCTGGCTGGCCCTTGGGCTCCTAGCTGATTGTTTTATTTTATGTTTTGAGGGGGTTGAGTGTGGGCACTGACTTGTGAGTCTGAGAGGTCCAGAGATCCTGAGTCCTTACACAGTATGGGAGGTGCCTTGTTTACAGGCAACACAACAATTCTTGGATGACCAAGGACCAGAGAATGAGCCCAAGCCTTGCCCCAGCTTGGCAGAGGATGTGGACTTGGAGGGAAACTGAGCCAAAGAGGGGTGAAATATAACAATTCCCATTGAATAGTCCCAAAATTGCCTCAGTTTAAGTCTTAACCTCCTGGGAGCATAGAATAATAGGTATAAGTTATTATGGTTATAATAGCATACTACTAATTATTAATTATAATAGTAGTTATAAATTAAATCTCTATCAATATAGACTTGTGAGAGCCTTTAAGTTGGGCAATTCTTTTACGTGGAAGAAACAGCTGTCCCATATCTGAGCTAGAATATACCCTATGTAGCTTTCTACTCCCTGCTTTGGGGTGGATCTAGGTATAAGCCAAAACCTAAACTTTAAGTAATCTTTCCTGGGGCTCCAGGGTGGGAGGTGGGGCATAACGAGTTAAAGAATACAAGAAAAGGAACATAATGACACCTGTCCACCAAGGACTGAATGAGGTCTAAAGTAGAAAACATGCAATGTACCAGTAGGTAGATGGCAAGATGGTCTAGGCACTTTGCTGGAGAAGCAACAAGGTCTAGTGTCTAGGGCCAGACAGCAGACAGAAGCACTGATTGTAGATACTCTGGGCTAGTTTGCATTCACTTGGTCGCTAATCAATATGCCTAAGGAAGGTAGCTAGGTGGCACAGTGGATAGAGTGCTGGACCTGAAGTTAGGGAGACGTATCTTCAAGAGTTCAAATCCAGCCTCAGACACCTAGTAGCTGTGTGACCTTAGGCAAGTTATTTAAACCTGTCTGCCTCAGTTTCCTCATCTGTAAAATGAGCTGGAGAAAGAAATGGCAAACCAGTACAATATCTTTGCCAGGAAAACCCCAAACATGATCATAAAGACTTGGACATGACTGAAAAATGGCTTAATGACCACAGACCTTAAGGCAGGACTTCCAAAGATGAATGGATTAACTCCCTCAGAGACATAGGCATAGATTCTGGAGGTCCAGGCCTCAGTGAATATCTCACAGGTCAGATGGGATACAAAGGAGAAGCAAGGTCTCGGGTCTAGGGAGCACGTAACCTTGACTACAGGTGTCCCCTACACAGATGTGTCTCAGTACCACTATACTCTACGTCTAGACTACCCACTTTTCCTCTGAATGCTGTATGTGCTTATGGGAGAGTACACTCTAGGTTTCGAATAGGGAATATCTTAAGGCTACTTCTATGCCAGCTTGGTGGTGGCAGCAGACAAAAGTACCAGGTCTGGAGTCAAGAAGACCCGAGTTCAAATCTGGCCTAAGATACTTACTAGCTGTGGGGCCCTGAGAAAATCACTTCCCCTCTATTTGTCTTAGTTTTCTCATCTGTAAAATGGGAATGATAATAATAGCACCTACCTTCCCAGACTGTTGTGAAGGTCAAATGAAATAATAACTGTAAAGTCTTTAGCACGGTGCCTGGCTCATAGTAGGGGCTATATAAATGTTAGGGAGTGCATGAGGAAGAATTACTATCTTAGCAAATGCTTTTGCTTTGAGCTAATTGTGTCTAAAGGCTGACTGCTAATGAAAAACATAGCATCAGAGATTTTTGAGCACTTTTTTTGTTTGTTTGCTTTTTAAAGAAGTACCCATGCACAAGGGTGGGTGCAGCCACCCACCTCTGGGGACATAACTTCCATGAGTAAGTGCACACTAGAAGTACTACCCATAGGGGGCACTACAAAACAAGTACAAAACCCAACAAATGTGGTCCTAAGGTGCTCTAGGTCCTCAAGTGCGGCAATGTGCCCTCGAGGCCGCAAGCTCTCCATCCCTGGTGTAGCTCCTTTTCCTTTACCACGAAGGCACTGGATTTTTTTTTTTGAGGATTCTTCCTTTACTCATACCAAGGAGGGGACGTGTTCTTACCAGCCTGTCATATTGAAGTCCCTGTAGAGCATCTTCTTTCCAAGTTCTTTTCTCTGTACTCTCCTTGGAAACTCCAAATGTGTGAACTCATTTCCCAGTAAGTGAGGCTGCATGAAAGCCTAATAGTGGGAAGGAGAAAAGGAGAAGGGAAAAGAAAAACAAACCTCACATTTAGGGCATGAAACAACACACTTGCTGAATGTTTTACAAATCCAGGCAGATGCTTAAAGAAACAACAACAAACCCGAGACTTTTTCCCCCAACAAAGGAAAAAGGTTTTAGAAACTGAGTGCTCTCAGAAAAGTACTCTGCGAAATCATTAATTTATACAAGTTAAGAAAAGGCAATTTGACTTTTCAATTGGTGCTAAAGAATACAAGAGCACATTTGTTTTTATTAAGGCCTGAGATGGATATTCCAAAGCATTCCCCAGTCCTAGTCACTATTCTTATTTTGATACTTAAAAAAAGTCCCACTGCTTAGATGTTTCTTTTAAAAAAATTCAATCTAATTTTTAAAAATTAACACAAATTTATTTTCTCCCCCCCCATCCCTCCATCCGTGGGGGGGAGGGAAGAAAATCAAAACTTTCATCATAACAAATATGCACGTTCAAACAAAACAAACCTCCCACACTGGCCATGTCTTATTGCTTAGACACTTCCTTTTTAAAAATTTAATCCATTTTTTTCCATTAACAAAAATCTATTCTCTCTTTCTTTCATCCTTCCATCCATTGAGGGGGGAAAGGAAGGAAAAAACTCATTATAACAAATATGCACATTCAAGCAAAACAAACTCCCACATTGTCCACGTGCAAAAATGTATGTCTCCTTCTGCACCTCAAGTCTATCGTTTCTTGGTCAGGAAGTGGATAGCAAGGTTCATTGTCTGTCTTCTGGGCTCATTTGTTACCCTGACTCTAAAATAAGGTGATCCAATCTATGAAATCCGAGGCAGTTTCCAGCCTCTGCCTGGCACATTACTGAGCTGCAAGATATTCACATTTGGGGTGTAAACCTTGACCCTCTTATGACAATCTCCTTCTCCAAGGGATTAAAAAAAGGGGGGGGCAGGAAAGGCAACCCTGACCTTTTTCTCCTTGGCTTTGTGGGCTCTGGGCAAGCTGTCTACACAGAATGAACACTGCATCTCACCATGTGTCTGCATATTTATTACCCAATAAATACAACGGACTAAGTGATGCAGGCTGGGGCTGGAGACACCAGGCAGGAACTTTCTATTGGAGCTTCTCCATCCCGCTCAGCGGTAATTTGATCATGTAAGTGCAGGGCCATACTGGAGCAGATGGTCTCTTCCTTCTCCCCACCAAATCTCTGCTCGAGCTACAAAGTCTTGAACAAACAGCCACTTAGGGAATTACTCTGAGACAAACAGACTCATTGTCACATTCAAAATTCAAACCCAGCTATCCACTGAAGTGAAATGCTTAAGTGCTGGCTTTTGTACCCCCCATAAATACCTGCATCATTGCTTATTCCTGCCCACCCCCTCCTCAGACATAAGCAGCTAATGTTTACTAATTGGCTAGGTGGAGTATATGGGTTTTTTTTTTGCTATTGCTTTGCAGGGGCCTTGCAAGGAGCCAAAAGATGAATGCACTAGAACAGGGATGGTGTCTTTAACTGGGTGGAAAATGGGCATCTTCAATTGCTGCAGATTTCTGAGTAACCTCCACTGGGGCTATGATAATAGAAAACATTAGCTTGGAAGCCATTACTTATTACTGGCATGTTGAGAGTCAGCTGTGGCAAGCAGTTCTTGAGGTAGAGAGCTAGGCTGGCTGCAAACTCCTGAGTCTGGAGTGGGGAGGGGGGGGACAGGTATCTTGGGGTCTGAGAGTCATTCCTCATCTGGCTTTGGTTTCAGGATCCTCTTGGATTGAGGGCTCTTAATGCTATGGTGACAGTGACTGAGGCTTGGGGCTGCTGCCCACGATCAATAGGCTAACTTTCAGGCTTAAAAGACACTTGGTTCCCAGAAATTCAAGAATGGGCTGTTTGCCAGGGATATTTGGGATATAAGGATCCTAATTTCTTTGGATATGTTGATGGGAGAGTATCCCCCCTGGGGAAGTCCCAGGTTCAACCTAAAGCCAAAGGTCTGAGGAATTCTGGAGAGCTCTCTAGAAATTCAATGAGTCAGCCAATCAATAAATATTTATTAAGCATTTATCACGTGCCAGGCAATGTGCTAATCCTTGGGGATGCAGAGAAAGGAGAGTCCCTGTTCTTAAGGAGCTCATAGTCTAACGGGAGAGACAATATGAAAACAACTATATACAAGACACACACAGGATAAATTGGAGATAATCAATAGAGGGAAGGCACTTTGTTCAGTTCTTCAGCTGTGTCTGACTCTGTTACCCCATTTGGGGTTTTCTTGGCAAAGATACTGGAGTGGTTTGCCATTTCCTTCTCCAGCTCATTTTACAGATGAGTAAACTGAGGCAATCAGGGTTGAGTGCCTTGCCCAGGACCACACAGCTAGTAAGTGTCTGAGGCCAGATTTGAACTTAAGAAAATGGGTCTTCCTGACTCCAGGCCTTGCACTATATTCACTAGTGTCGGCAAAGCCATCTTGTAAAAGATGGGATTTTAGCTGGTTCTTGAAAGACTTCAAGGAAGTCAGGAAACAGAGATGAGAACGGAGAGTATCCCAGGAACGCAGCATAGCTAGTAAAAATGCCTGGAATCCGGAGATGTATAAGGCACACAAGGAGGCCAGTGTCCTCACATGGAAAGAGTTAACAACTTGTATTCAGCTACTCCCAAATATCAGTTTATTCATTATTCAACAAGCCATTTCTTAAGTGTTTACGATGCTCAAGGCATCATAATAGACAATGGTGAAGATGCAAAGGTGACTAAAACATTTCCCCTCTCATCTTAGGCAGCTTATAATGCATAGGCCAATATTTCAATGGATCAGTGATCTCATTGGAGCAGGTTTTCAATGATGTAGATTGCAACTCATCCATGAACGTCCATCCTATCTGCTTGACACTTTTAGGTGTCCTCCCATAAATCTTCCACAGAGTATCCATGCAACCTTTTAGGGCCCTTCTTCATATTCTCTTGATATTGTATGGATCCCAATGGAGAATATCATCTGTCAATCAAGTTATTCCTTACCCTAGTTATGTGGCGGGTGCATCTTTTTTCCCCTGATCTCCTATTTCTCTCATAATGTCCTTTACGTTGCTTCTGTTACACAATTCCTTACTTACAACGTGTCACAGCCTGCTTAAGCCCACTGTACACTCCTTCATCGCCCTCTAGGTGACAGAGGATCACAAATCTACACATCAGATTCTAGAAACCAACAATCAGTTGCTATGTTATAAATTTTAATTTTCCACAGTCTCTATAGAATTGAAGCTTATGGCATAGCAAGTGGATCTTGGTTTCTGAAACCTGATGCTTGCAAACATCTGATAACAAGACCTGTTCTTATAAGACAACTGGTGATTATAGCCAATGTCACTCAGACTTACCCACCCCTTTAATTTCTAGGTCTGTACACATTAAACAACAATAACGACGACGATGGTGGTGGTGATGGTGATGATGATGGCTGGCATCTGCCATGGGCTGGGCCTGACTTAGGCCAGTCTTCTGGTTGTTTAGGTCTAATATTGGAATGAGACAAGACAAGTGTCACTCAACAGTTAACAAAGGGTTAACTGCCATGGCAGGGAAAACATCTGCAACAAAGGCATTTAGTGAGGACACCATGCTGATTCCTCTGGACACAGTTTCTCTGAGTTGGTCATGTTCAAGGTCCAAGGTCAGAAGTCAGAAAGCCAAGTGGATCTCCTTCTGGCCTTTTGTATTTAAGCAACTGGGTGGCAAAGCAGACAGAACACTGGCCCTGGAGCCAGGAAGACCTGAGTTCAAATCCAGCCCCACACATTTACTAGCTATGTGACCCTGGGCAAGTCATTTAACCCTGTTTGCCTCAATTTCCTCATCTGGAGCTGGAGAAGGAAATGGCAAACAACTGAAATATCTTTGCCAAGAAAACCCCAAATGGGGTCACAGTGAGTCAGACACAACTGAAAAATTACTCAACAACAAAATTCAGGCAAACAGAAACAAACAACCTGGACCAATCTTTTTAGCCAATCAAGTTTAAAGAAAGCTTTAATACCTCTTAAGAGTCTATCTGGCAAGGCCCTAGAAGATACGGCTTCCTATACAGAGCCAAAAAGGTCAAAGTCTACAGCCTTGGGAGATACCACTCCACTTCAGCTCAGGAAGCATGCAAGGGATGTATTATGACGTGGTACGTGTCCTTCCAAATTGTTCTAAGTCAAACTCAGCCTGCTTAAAAAATAACTCAATTCTTACTCTAGAGAATTTTTTGCATGAAAGCTGCCCCACTGCCTCTTCTCGTTCAACTGAGCTTTGAGAATAGGCTCAAGCCCCAGGACAGGGTTCAAACGGGCCTGGGTTTTGTTTCCAAGGTGGTTTCCCCAGCAGGTGGAGTGGGTAACACAAGGACAACAGATTTATGGAAGGTGTCTAGAGGCTTCTTCCCAGCCCTTCCCCAGCATCCAGGTGTTAATGTGGCTTCACCAGTCAAAGCTTGCCCGAGGCAACATTCTAATCAGTATACTGCAAGAAAGACCCCATTTGGTGATTTTTTTCTTCTTCTCCATTTCCTGCTAGCAAGAAAGTGATTGAATTAAGCCTCTAAGATCTAGGTAATTTTTGAGGCATATTCCACAGCAGTACTCCTGGCCTGGGAAGTTTAAATTTGTCATCTCCCACCATCCATATGAGATATATGAAACGGCTCCCAGAGTGAGTGGACATGTACTCTCCGGGCAAATTTAGTGGTTGACTAGGGTGTATTAGAAATCTGGACAATGGAAGAACAAACAGTCTTCTGTAAAAGGGGCCAAGGAGTGAAATTTCATTTAGTATCTAATGTTTTAATCTTTTATTACTGTTGTTGTTATTATATTTGTCTGTATCAATAACAACTACTTCTGGTTTCATGTCAACATGAAAGCTTGAGGAGGAACCCAGCTCTCTCACATATACTCTAGCAAAATATCTAAAAGGGTGAAAGAAAATGATCAAAACCACCC